GGCGGCCTGTGGGCCGAGCGGCGAGAGGCCGTCGGGCCCCCTTCTTCCTCCGGTACCTGTAGGCCTTTCTCATGCTGCAGCAGCAAGGCTCAAGTGGCTCTTCCATTTCCCTCGCTCATGTCTTTTCCCTGGGTCGCCCGACTCCCATTTTCTTACCTTATGGTCAGGGCACAGATGGCAGGGGCTGTTCTGAGCAGCGGAGGGACTGATGTTTGTTCCTCAGAAATGTGCTGTTACGGGGCGTTTGATTGTTGTGCACACAGCAATATTTTTTTCACGTCTCCCCCTTCGTAGCTGTTAGTTCCCTCGCGACCCCAGGGATGTCCTGCACACAAGGAGCTTATGCCAAGGTTTTAGAGGGCCACGCGTTACGGCTCAAAGCGTGTGAGCTTGTTCTGCGGTTTGTCATTGCTAGGAGTCAGGAATGCGATGTAGTAATAGTGTTTTGTTGTTCTAGTTGATCCCTCTGTTTTTGATCATTGGATCTGGAGGCGTTGGTGCAGGCCTGTATCTCATGCGTTTGGCAGTGTTCAACCCTGATGTCTGGTACGTATACAGTAACTCACAGCGCCCAATCCTCTTGCTGCATGTTTCTGGAGGCCTTAATGTCTTGCTGTGATATCACTGGCGCTAAGCGTGTGGAGATTTCCTTATCTGGAGTTTTGTTTGTTTACCGTATGATATTTAGAGACTTCTGACAAGGACTGTGTCTTTTTCTGTGGAAACTTGCTTGGATGGGTGACTTCATGGCCTAATAAGCACAGTACACATACAAATTTTATTTATTTTCAAGCTGGTATGATTTTCTTAGTATGGTCTCATATTTTGCATTTCTCTCAATAGCTGGGACAAGAAAAACAATCCAGAACCATGGAACAAACTGTCTCCCAGTGACCAGTACAAGGTAAAATGAAAAATACAGGTTTTTAGGAAACATGATATCGAAGGTGTAGCCTACTGCTTTAGGATGTTTGCATTTATTGGCAAGTAGCTGACTGAATGGTGTATTTCCTCTGCTGTGCAACATTTGTTTGTCTCCAGAACTTAGAGCCGAGAGAGCTGAGTTTGAGATTTAATGCTTTCCTAAAGCTGGTTGATAATGGGGCGAAAGGAGTCTATACGGAAGCAGTCATATATATTGCGCAGTAAGAGAAATAGGAATTAGATGCGAGAGGAAGAATATACTAGCTCCTAATACTCAGAACTAGAGAGAACAAAACCTTGTAATCTCTGAACTAAACCTTTCTAAGCTCTAAACTGTTTGCTCTAACTCATGAGAAGCAAAGCAGGAAAATGTCAGCGTTTAACATAAACACTAATTCAATTCTACAGTTGGTTGTTTGAGAACAAAACAATTGTAAGTAAATGGGTGGCATAGAATGTTCTTGTAAGTAATATTCAAGTTATTTCTTTTAACCAATGAAGAAGCATGCAAAGATGTGTAGAACATCTGTTAGTTTACAGAAATCATGTTTCTATCGTGTTTCACTAAAGTGATGTCTAATAGATTCCTGTTAAGAATATTTTAAGATTATCTTCAAGCTACTAAAAAAGCAAACCTGCTATGTTTTTAAAGTTAATGTCTGTTCAATACCATTTCTTACGATTCCGATCATTGAAATAAGCAAAAAAAGACCAGACTTCAAAATAAAATATGTTGCGGTTCGCTTAAAGGTCCAGGAAGAACATAATACTTTGTTTTCATTGGTGCTTCTGGAATGTGGCTGTTTCTAAAATAACTAAAAGAAGCAAATTCAACATAGTGCGCAGCACAAATTCTTTTAAAGAGTGCATGCCTTGTGTTGCATTCCCCTTCTGTCTTAGCATGCAAACACAACCTCAGGGTTTACCATATTTGGATGTGTGTATCATTGGGGATTTTTTTTTCCAAATCTGCACTGTGGGAAATGAAAAGGCAGATACCCTAAACTGAGGGTGACTTTAGTAAAAAGCTGTGATGTAACAAGTTTTAGCTTTTGATGAAGTAGTTTTTCTTTTTTAAACTTTTCTTTGTTATAGACTCAAGGAGTTGGAAGACCTGATCGTTACTGTGGGAGCTGCACAGAAAGCTGTAATTTGAATGTGCTGTAGGCTGTTCTGTTTTCTCTGAAGAAGTAAAAAAAAAAAATATGGGCATAAGCTAATAGATAAATATTTCTTCTTTTTTTTCAAGAAAAACTATAGCATCACATGTTTGATGTCAAGTCAGGCTGGGATGCCAAAATACGCTGTTAGTCTCTAAATTCATTGTCGTCTGTGACTACTTAGGCTGTTTTTAATGCTTTTAATGCGGTCCACCTTTATTAATATAAACCAAGAGTGTTAAAGGATCTGTTCTTACTTTCCTTCCTCCTTGTCATACCTTGCAGTTCCAGGTGCAGCTACTTAAACCAGACTTGGCTTTTGCAGCACTGCTCTAAATGTTCCCTTGTGATTTTATCTGTTCACATATGCTATGCTTTGTGCCACTTGGCAAGCTGGGTGTTGCCTTTGGTATACAGGAGCACATAGATTTGGGGCAAAAAGGATAAACTCAGCAGTAGTGTAAGAACTTCCTGTGAATGGGCTTTTAATTCTGGGGATTAAAGAAGAGATACTGTGGGTTTTCTCTAGTTGTAGATGCAAGCACTGCCTCATTTTAAATGCAGAGCTTTGAATATTGTATGCAGAGTGAGGGTAATATTAAAAAGTTACTGTTCTTTGAAGTTTTTATTTATTATTGTCTAGTGTACAGACTCAAAGTATGATTTCAATTTCCTGACATCTGTTCAAATGACGTATGGTTTTTTGGTAAATACCATGGAAAATGGATAATTGAGCTTCTTACTCATGCTTTCCCCTGTCTTTTCTAGTTCTACTCGGTTAATGTAGACTACAGTAGACTGAAAAAGGATCGTCCTGACTTCTGAACAACACACTCATCTCCATAAACTGCACAGAAAGGTCTTCCGGAAGCCGTCCGCACAATTGTCATGCTTGATCATCCAGGAAATAATCAAACTTGCCTCACACTGCACTTGGTCATGTGTGTGAAAGTGGTTTGATGAGGCTTAATAAATGTCTGAAACTTGAAGTGTCTACTCTTTACTCTAATTTTGCAAAAAAAAAAAAATCCTCCTATTAGCAGTTTGTTGTATGATCAGTCAAATAGTAAGCAAAAGCTAATTCATGTTTCTTCAACAAGAAGGCAAAATTGGCTTGATGGGCTTTATACTCTGTTGACTGTAGAGAAATCATTGCATGTTCATGCAGTATACCAAACTGCAAGAACTGAAAGCACGTATTTATATGTGGGTATGTATTTTTTTTTTTTCAATTGCATCTGAATATTTCTGCTTGCCACTTTAAAAAGGCTTGGTAGCAGACAAGTCATTGTCCAGCTGCGAGGCAACAGATGTTGCCATATGTTGCAGAAAGGAAGGGAAAAAAGGAAGAAGGCCAAGCTCTGCAAAATGTTTTGTTTCTTTTCTTTCTTAAGACATAAGCAGTTTGTTAATAAACCAGAAGACAAATATTTAAAAAATAACAATTCTAGGAACATACTCAAGATTTCCTGTGGATCACGCTTTTGAAGAGGGGAAGCACACAGTAGGCAGAACGGTACAGGATTTGAGAAAGAATTAGGTGTTCACGTAAGAACAAAAATGTCTCTCAGCAAGGGTGAATTCTTGTACTTCAGTACTTTGCTGAGTCTTGCTATGGGAAGACAAAAGAACTTTGAAGTCTTGTCGCTTACAGTAGGTTCTTCTTTGTGGCTTTCTGTGAACATCTGGTATTTCCTTGGCTAAGGGAGATAATTCTGGACTATCTGACAGAGCACAGCTGTTCTGATCTTCATACATTTCAGTCCAGTTAAAATGAACTCAGAATGTAGATAACCATAGCTGCTGTTACAAATAATAAGGATGGATTCAAAGAAACAGCAGCAAGAACTCTTACTGGAGAGGAACTACTGTTCTGTGGTAATGGACTGCAAAATAACACATATTTGCAAAGACTTCATATTTTATATGGAAAAATCTTCCAGGTCAATTGGATGTGGTTTATTTGGTAGCAGTTCAGAACATCTTCATTACATACCAAAATGGTGGATTTACTTGCAATTTTCACTTGCTTGTTTGAGAGGCTCTCATGGAATCTGAAGAAGAAAATGAGTGTTAGGACAGAGATGTTTACAGTGGTGGGCAAAGTCTGTAAGCGTCCTTGGGGACTGTGGTTGTCTGAATCCAAATATTTTTAGGAAGTAGAATGTTCTCTTGCAACACTTTTCATTCTTTAGTTTTAAAAACATGTCATGTAAAAATGGGAGGTGTTCTTACAGCTTGCTAGTTGGTAATCCTTTTGGATTTTGCTGGTATTACTGTGGTCTCCAAATGCAGGTCGTTTCTCCAGACATGAAGAAAATCCATTATCCCATCTGGAAGTAAACCTCATTCTTACTAACATGAGACAAGGTTGTTCACCTTGTTTTGGTCACAGCTGAAGAGGTAATAGGCTCATGTTTTTCTTAATAAAAGCACATAAGATAAAATAAATAGTCTGCCCCTGACATATTTCAAAATATATTTAACAAGTACTTAAGCTATTTAAAGCTTTGAATATGGGTTGACTAGAAAACAAAAAAGGCAATTCATTCAATGTTACTTCCTCTTTCCTCCTAGCAGCATAGTTGCTGCTGAAAATACACAGAACTTTTAAGTCTTTTGAGCTAGAACCATCATACTTTGTTCTAAGAGCTGTTACAGTGAGGTGACGCTCCTTTTGAGGGTATGCTTCTGGCCTATTTTAGATGGTAACAGACAATAGTCACCGTTACCTACCAAACTTATAAATGTCATGAGAATTTTGTTTCTTTCTCAGTCTTGTAATGGAGAAGTGTTACATAATTTCCAAAAAGAAGCTGAGTCAAATGAAGAATGCTGTGTATTTTGTGTGACTTAGCAGCTCAACCAATAACACATTTTCAAACAAACATACGATGCTGTTTTTTGGTTCCATGGGCCTAGTTTCTCACTGCAGATGTTTTTCTTGTTGAACCCTCACACCTATGGAGACTTTAGGCCAAGCTACTTAATCTAAGTCTGTCTTAAATTATTCTGTGAGCAGAAATTAAGCACTTGCATAAATCTTCAGCTTTGGAACACAGAAGCATTGAGGTTCACCAACTTTATTGGTAACATGACAAGGTGTGTTCAAATCCCTAAAAGTTCCACAATTTTTGATACTTTATAATTAACTTAAGGGTTGATAGATCTATCCTAGTAATTCAGTTCTGTGATCTGTTACAATTTCTTCAGTAGTTTGCGGTGGTTTTTGTGGTTTTTTTTAAACACACAAATGCACTTTGTTAGTGCCTAGTTATTTTTTTTGTTGTTTCTTATATTCTTTTTATTCTTAAAATTCTAGTCCTGTAAGGTCTTAAATTCCTGCTTGCCTTTTTCACTGTGAGTTTTCCTGAGGGACAGAGGAACATTTTATTCCCTGTAAAACCAAAGCACATGCTTGGCCCTAGTTTATAACTACTTGATAGTGGTCTACTGGTATCCAGTACATTTCTTTGCATTTTTGTAGTGTACTCTTTCTGAAAGAGAACCATTTTCACAGATTAGCAATATTCTATCTATATTAAAATATTCAGCCCACTTCTTTAAAGCTGCTTCTTTAAAGCCATCTTCTACTTCTTTCTTCTTCGTGAAGTCCAAGACTGTATTCCCTGAAGATAGCATGAAGAAACGATTGTAGTTTGGATTTTTAGGATCCTAGCTTCTAATCTTCATCTTTGGCAATTAACTTTTGTGAAACAAATAAGTCCTGTCATTAATAGGAAAACTGAGGTCCTTCATTAACACTGTGGCTTGTAATTTTGCTTGAGCAGATGTCACGTGTTATCTGAAAGAGACTGATACTCTGCTGTCTTATGTTTTGACTAAGATGGATACAACTGCTACGTTCCAGTTTGTGGCAGATTTTTGTGGAATGAGCAGTGTCGTCCTGGCCTGCATGTCTTCTTAATGAGCCACCTGCATAAGGTTTGTCTGTTGTTTTCACAACACAGCATTGTGCTTGCCACTGTCAGATTTCTGTTAGCACAATTATTGTGTGCCTCCTTATCAGTGATCCTGGTACTCAGCAGGGTGATCAAATCTGGAAGTAATACTGCCCACCTAGGATGGAAAGAAATACAGGTTTCCATAGCTTTGGCAAGTGGACACATACACCATGCAGCATGTTGCAATGTTTTTCCTTTGTATATTTAGTATAGCCAGTAAGTAGGATTTATGTTACTTGCCTGCAGTAAGGAAAGTTCCTCATAAGTAGAAGAAATCTAACTGCCTCTAAGAAATTAGAAGGGTGTGCCTGATATTAAAAGAATGATTTAAATTTTGCATAGGATTTCTAGCCAAATGTCATCTGAGGAAATAAATTTCAGATCTGTTTTCAAGCTCTGCTGTACCTTTAAAGTTAGTTTGGTGTGTGACTATGGAATGACCTTTAAAACTAAGCAAATGTATGTTTAATGCTGATTGGACTGTAATACTTTGCCAGAAAGAAAGGTTGAAAAGTTATTACAGGAATTTTAAGAAGGTATTTAGAGCAGAAAAAGAGTTATTGAAAAACATTAGATATGTGCAAGTGCACACGAAGTTATTGTTTCTACTTATCGGCCTGCCGTACGAGAACTCCAAAAAATAGGTGTTCACTTGCATCATTGCCACAGTAAGTTTTATATATTACTTCATAGAAAACCTTACTCTTCAGTCCTCTCTTTTGAAATATAGAAGTTGGTTGACTTCGTGCTTTCGTGATCCATCCACTTGTCCTTAGAAGTGGTCTTGGCATCAGTATTTAATCATGAGATGTTCCTATGAAGCTGAAATCATTTCATCTCCTCTTCTGATCTCTAAGCTTCTTAGGAGTGCCTCTCGATACCACTATGATGGCATGTTTCCCAAATGTGTGTTAATTCTGGTGCCATCCAGCTTGGATGAACTTTGGTGATTTTTAATAATTTCAAAATCTTATTATCTATGGTTGGTAAGGCTGAACTTGCTTAGTAAGAATGACATGAGCCAGTACAATGCAAGAAAATACACACCCCGTCCATTCTTGAGAAGCAAATCTGATTTTAGCATCCAGAGTAACGTTCATCTAAACCAGAAAAGTATTTTACATTTTTTCTTTTTCTCCTTTTTTAAAGTTTCATGTAAATAAAACAAAAAAATAATTTTTAGACTTCCTAAGCTAATGTTGTTCTCTCAGTTATCAGCTGAAGAGCCTATGAGATCACCACACTTTGACTTGTTCATTTTTTTTTTTTCTATTTTCTTTTCAGTCAGAATCAGTATTACTTTAGGTAATGTGAAATGAGAACTTAAGTATGCAAGTCAAAGCAAGAACAATGCATTCAAACTTTTGATAGTTTGCTGTCAGCATTTGCCTGACATTCATTTGCTGCTAGAACTGCTACAAGACTGACATGTGGAACTGCTGCAAGAGACAGCAGGTTCTGAAGACGATCAGCAAATAGTTTATTAACACATGGCAATGTATACATTACAAAGGAGAATCGAAATTCTGCTGGTAATAGTAATGACTGTTGGCAATGCTTTAGAACTTAGACACCTCAAATAATATTTCTAGGGTCATTAATTTGAATTACTTTGGACAAAATAATGCACTACACCATTTATGGTTCATCACTATAATGTTAAGACAACTTTTTTAGTAGAACTGAACAAGGCATAACCCAATAGACAAATCTGTAGACTTGTTTTTTTCACATTGGAAGCAAACTAACTATGAACATGAAATGTTTTCTAATTTTAGTTTCCCTACTGCAGGCAAATGAAACAAACTGCTGTGAAGGTAATGAAAACAGATTACTTAATGGTGAAAAATCTGAGTGCCATTCTTTCTCCACCAGTGGTGCCACTGCTGGAATTTCATGGGGTGGCACCAGTGTGTCTGAATGAAGATTTTGGTCCTAGCTATTTAAAAATAGAGTTGAATCTAATAAGATTTCCTCAGTACTGATAACATTTTTGCTTTCTTTTTTATTTTTTTTACTAGACT